TGCTGCATTGATGGTACAGCACTGGTGCTGCATTAATACAATAGCTGTAAAAATCTTATATTTTTCCTCGCATAAAAATGAACCTTTTATAACGTACAAATTAAATTTCAATTTTAATTCTTTAATATTTTTGAAGAAAAATAAGTAAATAAACTACACAAATTCAATTCAATGCAAAAAAAAACAAATACAAAGATTAAAAAGAAAAAAGTCCCATAAGAAAATTTCGTTTTTAGTCACAAAAAAATTATTGTGGCAAAATTTTTGCCCTCTATTTTCATTTTTCAGTTAGCGATCGGAAATATGATAATTTTTAATGAAAAAAACATATTTTTCGTTTTCATTAAAAGTTCTCATACTTCCAAGCCATAACTGGATAATCAAGTTTCGCCACAATTATATTCATTACAACGTTGCCACAATATTTTTAATTAAAAAACCCGCTTTAATCCTAATAAACAAATTTAATATATTTGTTATTAGGCAACAAATAACAAGATAATAGGTAAAGTCACTTAATTTTGTATGGGAATCCGGTTTATTTACGGAGTTTACGCGGTTATGCGGCATTTACACGTTTAGATGAATACCCGTAATATATAATTTACAATATAGAGCCTTAAAGTTATTACTTACCATCTCTCCTTTAGGATAATTCTCTAGATTTGCTTCCACATTCTTTATTTCCTCAATCGATCCGAACGGAATAATTTTAAAGTCAACTGAATCCGGAAAACACTGTGCTGCAATTCTCTTTATCAACAGGTCTTGTTTCATCGCTTGTTGGTAAAAAATTAAGTTTTGTGCCATCAGTTCCTTATGTCTCGCCTCACTCTTTTCCCCTTCTTCATCCATCTTTCGTTTCAAAGTAGCAACTGAAAAGTATCCGTATTTAGTAATTTTTATACGTGCATATGTATGTACAATAAAAAAGTACCTTCTGTTAATAAATTTGCTGCTGTTGGGTTCGGTGCTCCGCTAATGCCGGAATTATATTGCGACCGATTCCGAAAAGGAGTAAGAAGAAAATTTTCGTCATTATATTCTTGCATTGGTGTTGTTACCTTGTACGGTGATGTTGGTGAAAATAGTTGATGTTGTGACATCTTTGCCTATATTAAAATTACATAAATATAACGCGTGTCAACATTGAAAGCGCACCTTATATTGACAAGTTTTAACAATTATTTTTTTTTGTTATTTAATTGTAGTAATTTTTTTATACAAATATATGTACATACTTTAATCCTTAGCAAAACCCGTATTGCCCAAAAACAACGGTAAGTCTTAACTTCTTTAAACTTGCCCTTCATCATACTAAAATCGAATGGGCTAAAAAACTGCATACGTACTGAAAATCTTTATAAGAAATCGATTTTTTTTTTTGTTAAAGAATAAACTATATTTTGGATAAAGAATTACTAAAAAAAATTATTGTTAAAAGTTTTCAGGGTTGAGCTTATAATTTTGACACGATGTGTTTGTTATTTAAAAAAAATATATTTATTTTACGAAAAACCTTAAAATACCTTTAAATATGGCAATGGTGTAGTATGGGAACGAGAACAAATTTTTCGTGGTACGGAAGGCATACAATTTTGCAATGGATATCTGATATCTTAAAATTTTCTTCCACACCCAATAAGTCATCCACAAGGCTAATACCAAGTTCTTTGTACGACTCAAAAGGACACTAAAAAAAATTTGAAACATTCAAAAACTTAGACCCAATAATGAATTCTCCGTCAATAGTTTTTAAAAATCCTTTCACTTTAATTGGTTCAAGGGATTTCAAGTAGCAAATATTATCAGGAGTTCTATCGCTTAGATGAAATATATCGCAGCTGTAAGTAGGATAAATTGATGAAGATGTTGTAGCAGATCGTTGCTTTTTCAAAATTTGAATTTATGTTTTGCATTGCCGTACTAAATGTTGTTTTTTTGTTCTACTTCTGTCTAATATTTTATTGTTAATTTGCGTGAGGATTTTAGATGGGCGTCGAATATCTTTTTTTTAATTTCTGTAAATGATTCTCGAATTTGTAGGCTGAGAAATTGTTGACGTCCCTAAAAGCTTCAACACAATCTGTCAAATGCAATAAATTATGCACATTATAGGTGAGCCTATCCTCACCGTATATATCAGAATAGTCGCTAACACAACATTGCAACATTTTTTGAACGGTGTCTAAATTCCTTGTGCGGTTTGCCGGGCACGAAATCATCCTATAGGAACAATGTAGCAGTAAGAAGTGGTAGTACAAATCTATATCCAACAATTCTTTGAATAGCACGACACCTGTGTATATCAGAATTTGTCGAAACTCTGTTGCTTTCCATCTTAACAATTCATTGAAAGACCTTGGTTTCCTACAGAATTCCACAGGAATATATTTCCTCATTCTTATAAAACGATTATCTATGGCCAGCTTTTCTTCTGCAGATAATTTTCTTTTGGAATGTTTATCTTCCCAAATTAACGTCATAATTTTTGTACACACCCCAAGGTCTATTAGGTGCATGACATCAAGTGGGAATTGCGAAACCATTCCCACATTTATTTGTTCCAAAATATGACTACCCTTATTTCAGAAGCTAGCCTGGTGATAAAACGGATTAGCCCTATTACAGTAGTCAAGATCGGTTCTTTTTCCAACTATGCTACTGCTGTACACCAGTCTCCTGTTCATTCTCCTGCCTTTCTGCACTCACTTCGAACAACCATCATAATGAATGCCGGTAAGAAAAGCTCGTGCGGGAGTATCGACGGTAAACAATCTTATCTTCAAATCAATCCTACGCTCGCTTAAAATAAGCCCCGTACTTTGAATATTTAGCATTTCTTCCACAAAAGGTTTTAAATACTTATTCACATCTTCTGGCTTTTTATTACCGGCATAAACACCTATTAAAAAGGGTTGAATGCTAGGTTCTTCTGACACTGCGCCTAAAATTGGTCATAAATTCATAGACGAACTTTTAAAAAGGGGCAAACCATCAATACCAACATCAATATGCATTGTGGTCAAGTTTTCTACATTGACTCAAGAAGCTCAATTGCCTTCGCAATGCCAAAATGAAGATATTGACCTGGAGGTAAATCAACGATTTCAACAGTTTGCTTTTTTCTGTTTACTAAAGATGCATACGACAAAATTTTCAAGAGATATTCACACGAATGACAGGATATGTTACACCCAATTGCCCATTTGAACAATTTTTCTTTAATTGACATATTTACTGCCTCACTATGCATATCACTGACACTAGGAACGTTTTCTGCGTCAATATCAGAATACTCAATTTCAACTGCATTTTGTGGCAATTCTTTAATGTTCTGTTGTTCTTTATTTTTCGCAATATGTTTTGACAACAAGCGGCGAAAATATTGCTTGCTCACTCCAGTTATTTTTTTATTACTCATTTTAACTTTTAACTTACTTTTCAAGTATAAATTATATTATATCACACAACACGATCGTCCACTAAAAATTTTGCGCAATACTGAAAATATTGTCGCGCAACACGTCCGTTTACACAAATCTTTGCACAAGAATGACAAAAATTGTGTGATGCTGTATCGTAGTCAAATTTATCAGGAAATGTACTTAAACAACAAGAACGTATGTTCGCTGACTTAAAATATTACAAAAATTGTACGATGCTGTATAGTAGTCAAATTTAGCAGGAAATATACTTACTTCAACAACAACTCGCTTGCAGTTCGTCAGAATTTGACTTAATTTTTGGAAATTCATGGCCCTTCATGAATATTTCACACTTTCTTACTCATACAGCATGCTTACTTCACGGATGCATACAACCAATTTCTACTGGGTAGCTTCCCAATGTGTAAATGTGTATAAAGTTAGCGAAACAACATCAAGCAAAAAATTTCGCATATACCCATGAATTTGCCGTTTTTTGCCGTTAATTATTTGAGGAAAAAATAATTTTGTCGCTCTGGTATTTTTTTAGATATAAGGTGTTTTGCTAACTTTATATAAAGTTAGCGAAGCACCCCTCCAAACTCAAAGACAAACGACTAGGCTTTATGTCAAAATTTGCCGTTCTAAGATGAGCTAGTTTACTTTTGAAAAAAAAAGATTTTTTAAATAAAAATAAAAAATTTTCGCATTTTTTTTTCAATGTTCAATAATTTCACTGTGAGACAAATGGTAGGGGTCAGTGATCGGGAAGTGTTCAAACTACCGGGGAAAGTTATATGGTAAAAAAGAAGTTATACGTGTCCCGGCGTTTCGCTGGGTCACGTCTAGGAATCGAGATATATATATAACTATCATATAGGTGAAATTGTCACCTTTGGTGGTCTTTTTTTGACATAACTCGAGAACCACTGTCCGATTTTGCTTAAACAAATTTAAAAAAATTAAAAATTACAATTCCTTTAATCTGTTCATATAACGTTTTTCTATATAATCAACAGTTTTAAAAAAATTTAATATTTTAGGCAAAAAATATATTTTTTCTTCATACATTTATTTTTACCGGCAAAAATTTTGATTATATAGAAAAACGTTATATGAACAGATTAAAGGAATTGTAATTTTTAATATTTTTAAACTTGTTTGAGCAAACGGGGCTAGTGGTTCTCCAGTTATGTCAAAAAAAGACCACCAAAGGTCACAATTTCCCCTATATGATAGTTATATATATACCTCGATTCCTAGACGTGACCCAGCGAAACGCCGGGACACGTATAACTTGGTTTTGACCGATATAACATTTCCCGTTGGTTTCATCCCATCCTGATTTTGATTGTCGCATAGTGTTTTTAGAAGAAAAGGATAATAATATAATAGAAAAGCAAACCCGGTTTCTTTATGTACCACTTTGAAATTTAAACAAACAAGAATCACCACGGTTAAAATTCAAAAAATTAAGAAGCTTTCTTATCACAATTAAACGACAAAATCAAAAACAGTTTTAATGCGCAAAACAATTCCAACGGCAAATTATGCAACATAAAAATTAATTATTTTTATTACTTTTAACCAATTTTTAAACCGCTTTCCAAGTCCCTATTTTTTTTT